CCCTCTCTCCCCCTCCCTCTCTCTCCTCCCTCTCTCTCCCCTCTCTCCCTCCCCTCTCAGTCTCTCTCTCTTCCGCTCTTTCTCCCGGTCTCTCCCCCTCTCTCTCGTCCTCTGGTGTTGCTTAAAATTGCAACGAAGGGGCGGTACTTTGTAACCAATGCGAAAGAAATGAATTCAGTACATGGGGTAATTTTTTACTTAGTCACGTTCAATCATCATCGAGTGGACCTTGAATTTTCGCCTATAGCGATGCACGAGAGTTTTCCCCAGGGAAGCGCCATGCCTTCACAGCCTATTGGAACTTAAGCTTATCTCAGACCTCCAGTGGAATTTGTCCATACCATTCATCACTGAAGATACTGAGAAAAATAGTCAGTTCCCATGTACCGCTCCAGTAAGTACCTGACTCCTCCTCCTCCTGCTATCCTCTACATTTACATGATCCAAAGGCCGAAAATGGAGTACTGCTGCCATATTTGCGTAGGAGCTGGACAGTCTTCACATTGCAGTCGCGATAGAGTCCAAAAGCGTCTTCGCGTCCTTGTGGCTGATGAATTATTTCCCGCCCTGCAACCACTTTCCCACAGATAAAATATCGCGTGCCTCTCGCTACTCTATCGCTATTTCCATGGCAAATGTTCAGACGAACTACATTCCTTAGTTCCATCAGTTCTAACCGCCACGGCTGAGACCTGCTATGCTACGCCCATTGTAGCGAACCATTCTCATTACCTTCGTATTCCATTATTGAGATATAAGCCATAAGCGAGCAGCTTCTCCGCAGGAACGGCTGCTTTGTGGAACCGACTCTCAAGAGTAATTCTTCCACGATCAATACAATCTTAACCTGTTCAAATCTAGTGTTAACTGTTATCTAATCCCGCATATCTCCATAAACTGTGATTCTTACTCTGTAACCCTGTACCTCAAGTTACTCTTGAGGCTTTCACCGGGTAAATATTACTGAAAAACTATATATATATATATATATATATATATATATTAAGAAATGGACAAAAGTCCGACAATTTATTTATTAAAGACATTTTTTATGTTTAACGTTCTTTTTTTATAGATACAAGTATTTAAGTAAATGCTCTGTTTATAATAAACAGTATTAAATAACATTTACCGGCCTGAATGTGGAGAAATTTTCATAGAAAATGTTCGTCCTTTGACAGGATTCGAACCCGCATCCTATACGGAACCGTCATTTACGCTGAAATTTATATAAATAAATTGTCGGACTTTGTCCATTTCTTAATATATGACGTCATTTGTTTACATTTGATACGCCAGAGCAGTTATGAATGTACGAGATTCATGGAAGATTGAAGTTTATAAGCAGTAAATGCGACCTTGCCTACCGAACGCTCCTTTGTGGCCTAGACGGTAAGGCACGTCAGCGTAAATGACGGTTCCGTATAGGATGCAGGTTCGAATCCTGTTAAAGGACGAATATTTTACATTCAGGCCGGTAAATGTTATTTAATACTGTTTATTATAAACAGAGCATTTACTTAAATACTTGTATCTATAAAAAAGAACGTTAAACATAAAAATGTCTTTAATAAATATATATATATATATATATATAAGAAGACAACGGAGACTTTAATTATTCATTTCGTTTATAATTTTTATTTCGTGAACACCGAGAGGTTCAACTCATCAGAATGAAATCTTTTGCGTGGAAGATTTATAGAACAAACTATAAACACGCATGCGCAGAAGACACTATGACCAATCTAAAAGTATGTTATGGCGAAAGTGTGGATAATTTTTGACTTGCTCTTGTAATAACCAGTTTCACTTCATCTTCATTATCACAAATCACTAATTTACAAGTCTAATAGTTTATTTCGAGTTTCTTTAAAAACACCTTCGTTGCTCACATATTCTAATCATCCTTCTGTAGAACGATTACTCGTTTGCCTCAGCTTTCCTCTTCATCTGTGAGGAAATTGTCCAGTACTCACAACGATAAAGGGTGGGGGTGATATTACATATCGAGCGGAGGTGCAGTAATGGATAGCGGCTCGGATTGAGGAATCGGAGAGCCGAGTTCGAATTCCAGTCGAATCCATTACATTCACTTACGTGTTAAACCCTTGGGAAAGATATAAATTCTCTTTTTCTCCCCATCAGGACAGACCGGGGTCTCTACCGCAGAAAGAAATGGCAACCTACTGCAGGAAAAAGTCTGCCTCGCCAGTCATGTATCGAAAGATACATGATCGCCTAAGCGTGTAACACGTATGGCACATAAATGACTGATATTCACATACGAATTCAGCATCCCTTTCTTTTTTTCTAACCAAGCTTTCCTGTATTAACTTTGTTTAGTTTTTGGAAGGCATCTTTCGTTAAATTAACGCGCCTATCAAATTTCTGTGTTACATTTTTCGTTGTCTGTTATAATTTCTGTATTTACTTGATTTTCACATCTCCAATTCGTAATTCGTGCCTTGGGGTGCATCATCATCTTTTCTAATTTTTT